CGTTGCAAAGACCGTCTGGAAGCCTACAAGGCCATCGGTGCAGAAACCTCTCGAGAGAACGTTGCTATTGCTACAGGTTGTTATACGGTATTCCAGGATCTACGCCCAGAAGGTGAAGCTCTTCATCATCGTGAGTTGTGAATGTCCCTGATAAAAGGGCCGCTGCAGCGCGTGTAGAGGAAAAGAAAAGCGCGTTATGGATGTTGGAAATGTGGAAATAAGAGCGCGTGTCTGATCTCTGGCGGACGGAGTGTCGACGATTGTTGACAAAATACTGAAGTGATGTAAACTTGTTATTTAGTATTTCAATGAATATAGAAACAAAGTCTAGAAAGAAAATTATGCAGCAATTAGCTTCCATTCGCTTGCCTACCCTGCAAGATAGATTAGACCTACTGGTCGACCTCAAGCGCTGTATAAAGCGCCAAATTCAATCGGGTTCGTACTTCTAGCCTTTTCTTGGGATGGTTTTTTGTGTTCATAACCTCTATCCTAACCATCTCTCTATCCGATTTCTGTTACTAACTACGTTTGAGTTCTTACCGATCGTTTGATTACCCAAGTTTGAGGTATTTTGTCTGGGAAGTTCGCGTTACTAAATATAAGTATTCTATTCTTATTTGTGGCGAGCATATATACTGTTTATTCGATGATGTTGAGCGTAAGCGCTCGATTGCTCATATTAGTTTGCCCGAAGGATCATCCAGTCTGCCGAATCGATATTGGTGAATGATGTCAATTGTTTAAGGCTCGTTTTTGATTTCCTTGAAAATGAATGTTCTCCGTTGACCGTCTGTCGCATGAGACGAGCTGCTTCACTGTTCCTCCTCTTCACAAAAATGTTCTGCCTTCCACTTTCTATGTAAATGTTAAGTCGCGCAAACCGTTTAGAGCAATACTCTGGCCCTGAATATATTAGACCCTTCCCAAATCGGGACGGAGAGGAGTAGAGCTCCTGCTGAGCGGATTGCATGGCAAAACACTTAGTCTCCTAAGTATGCTCGAGCCACATATAAGTTCCTTCGTTATTAGTGGTCCCTGAGCTTGGAAATGTGTCTGATTCCAGCGCTCATACACCAGTTGTGAACCACTCTGGTTCTCCGAATTTATAAAGACTCGTCGAAACTATGAATGTCGTCCCTTCCTGCTTGTCGCCCACACACGATCGGTTATAAGAATAACCGAGACCTCTCCTATGACACCCAGCGATTCGATTCTGAGATAACAGCGCTGGCCGAGAAATGGCTTTCCGCTGATGTTCAGTGGTTATCTCTTGGGTTTGCTGTACGCGCTACGAAGTGGTGTGGTCAGATGTGACCGTACTGCCGAAAAAGGTGGAGATGTGTCAGTCCTCGCTGAGAAAACCCTTTATCCGGCTGTCGTTTTCCGTCAATGTTATCCTACGTCATACGATATGTTATGCCCAGATCTTATCGCGCTTGTTTGCAATCAACTTGTTACTGTTTATAGAGCTCATTCTTGCGCAGCTGCCATGACATGACAGTAATTCAAGGCGATCAGCTATATCGTCTCCTCTGATCGTCATTCTCTTATCCCTACAAATTTCAACCTACCTGATATTGACTGGTCCGACCTGCTAGTTAGTAACCAATATACGGCTATCTCAAAATCATTTGCTGAACTTGGCAGGACGCACTGTTTATCTCAACACTTCCAAATGCCCACAATGGGGTCCTCGACACAATCCTCACCAATACCGATGGTTTGGTTTACAGGCTGCCGTAGCTGCTCCTCTAGGGACTAGTGATCGTAATAGCCTTGTTTTTGATTTGAACGCTTGGGAAGTACTTGTTGCAAAAATGAATTTTAAAGCGGTTTACTATGACGTCAACACAAAATATCTTGCTGATATTCATTTGCATAGTTCATTCAGTTTTGCGCATTCTATTGATGAAGTGTATGAGCTTATTATTTCAGTTCTGCACCAATGTGTACCTATGCTTATTCATTTGAATATCTTTCCTTGCCTTGCTCCCGCTTACCACCCTACAGGGAGGCCAAAAAAAGTCACTTCGACCGAGTCACATATCAGCAAAGTTTTCGCTGCCCAGACAGAGGACGTGGATACGAGTACCAGGGCGGAAGATACCCAAGATGTTCCTCTATAAGCAGGAGCTGGCTCTCGCCCATCACCTTCATGTACACCAAAATATGAAGTCATCTCCAGTCGCAGCCTGACTGGAGAAGACCTTTGGAATTCATGTCACCTCCAAACAGCTGCGAAACTTCTAGTATGGAGTCACCCATGGATAGCTACCTGGAGACCAGTACTCTCGATCTGGAGACCTCCAACATCGAGCAGCTCCGACAACGTCGCCACGGTCCAGGATATCATCTTCACCGCAGTCGCTAAAAGCGCTGGTTGATGGTATGGACCGGACTACCTGGAATGGAAAGACTAATATTTTCTTCGGGGACCCCGGGCTGAAGGTGAGCAGCCTGGCGCTTACATCGAGCCACTCGTGAAGAATATCCTTCTCACATGTCATCGCCCGTGCCTTCTTGGGAACTTTGTACTGCTACAGCATTGGGTGACACCACATGAAATCAAAGGGCGTTGGAGAAACACTCGCCTACTTGGAATGGAAGGGGACTGAGTACCTAAAGGAGATGCCGAATTATCCAAAGTAGGTCACCTAACTGAACGCCGCTCAATTAACTAGGTTCGGGCGCGAGTCCATTTGGTCTACGGTGGCGGAGAAATGCGACTATCTGCGCTGCGTCTAGGCACCACATCGCCAGGTAGCGCCTGCCAGAATTCTCTCGCCATTTGGCGCCTCGTCCAGAGAAGGATACGGCGGAGAGTCATCGAATAGCATTTGATATGCTCTTAATATTGGTGCGTAGAAGTGTTCGATCAGAATTTAAGAGTTTAAGTGTAACTTGTAGCGCCTCGAAAGTCAATGAAGAGAACACTATCGCATACACCAAAGGGGTTCCTACAGAGGTTACCACCGACAGCATATCCTCACACCGCACCGGTCAGATTCGATGGACCCCAAACCCTCACAACACGTTCAGAGCAGCCATTCCTTTCTAAGATATCACTTCGGTCCAGAACAGTAGGGGTTCGTCGACATGGCAGGAGAGGAATGAGTTCACATCCTGCTAAACCAATGTTCATACACTGAAGCCTTAAGCAGATTATAGTATTAACTAGCTGGCTGTCGCGCGGCTGACGCCGCGCCTCTTTCTCGAGCTAAGCCGGCTTTGCCGGGGGGCGCGGTTCCGCCGCGCCTACCTTCTTCCACACATTTCAAGACCCACCTAGTATCCGGCTTTTCTTTTAGCTGAACAGATGATCAACATTCTTTTACCATTTGCATCACACCTGCTATTTTCAACACTATTACAGTGTATGGAATGGTGGTAAAGCGCTTGATGAAGTGGACAGATGGCTATTTAGTTTGAGATCTGATCATAAAAAGCAGTTAGGCGCGATGGAGCCACACCCCGCAAGGCCGTATCACGGAGGAATCCTGGAGTGTCCTGGAACCGCTTTAGGAATTTTTAAGACTGGCCCCACCCACCTCGACGCACGCTCCACCCACTACGGGTATGCCTCACTCTTGTGAGTCGGTGACCTCTCGATGACCTTTACCTACTTTTTTTCCGGTGTCTGGAGTGCCCTGGAACCGTTCCAGGAATTTTTGAAATTGGCTCCGCCCACCTCGCCGCACGCTCCGCCCACGGCCGCGCTTTTGCAGCAGGTTTACCAGTGACCTATCGCTGGCATTGATCCACCTCTTCTCGGTCTCTGGAGTGCTTTCGAAGCGTTTTACGAATTTTTTCATTTCTCTCCACCCACCCCCACCTTACCGCACCCTCCGCTCACAACAGGTGTGCCTTACACTTGTGAACCGATGACTCCTCGGTGAACTTATCCGTTTTTCCCGGTATCTGGAGTGCTCTAGAACCGTTTTGCGAATTTTTTCATAATCCACTTTTTTACGCCGTCTGTAATGCTCTAACAACCAAACTACACTTTTTAAAGTGGGACCTCGTGTTTAAAAGGCAAACGCGTGCCGCCCACAGTGGGCGGGTCTGAGCACAACGCAGATATGACTGACTCTCGCCAAATGTTTATCTACGCTCCCCAGTACCGAGTTACCTACCTTTGGGTGAAGCACCGCCCATCTCAAGTACGCCCCGAGCATTCCGAGTGTGTCTCCTTCATTTGCTCTGCCAACCCAGTGCTAACCTTATTCCGCTTTTTCCCGTCTTCGGGCTGCTTTGTAGCCAAATTATCTCGGGTATGCCCCGCCCATTTCCAGGTGTGCTTCCTCTATTCGGTCTGTCAGTCCTTTAGTAACTTCATTGCACTGCTCCCCATCTCCTACTGCTCTAGAACCGAGTTATGATTTTTTTCACTGACATCGCTAACTTTCGGCGAGCGCCCCGCGCGCACACACACACACACACACACACACACACACACACACACACACACACACACACACACACACACACACACACACACACACACACACAC